TGTCATCGCATGCCTGCATGCTAGGATTGGGAGGTGCGGCGTTACAACTCTGTGTGCAGCGACCGTACAAACAGTGGCCAATCATTAACCTCTGTTTGTTTAACCTAATCCCCCATCCTGATCATGAGTAGCTCCCTGCGTGTACACTTTATCCGCAATACTCGTACTGAATAAACGTGTTCCGTGCTACACGTCTGTTTACTTTATAGCTGAGCTATATCTTAGCTGGTTCTGGGAGTCTAGCTAGATGTTGGAGAAAATGCTATAGAGATTTCTGAGTCAGTCAGGCTTTACTATGGTAGCAATCCGCTACAGACTCAATTTAAAGCTGTAATAGAATTTAAAGAAAAATGTGCTATAAAATAAACTACATTTATGATGATGGTTACTTTAACAATCCGGATCTTTTCAAGTAAGTTATGGATTATATTTGGAGAACGTTTTATAGTAAATAATAAACAAATTGAATTATAAGTTTCTGTCCATACTTGTAGATCATAATCACACATAAAGCAGCAGTCATTGTAATACTGGCGTATTTTTTAAATTGTCAATTTTTCTGAAATGTAAAATAAACGGGATTAACTCCTGACTACTTTGAGGATGTGAAACAATTTTTTTGTAAATGCTCACTCCTTCATTACTTTCCAGCCTCTTGTTGATAATTAAAAGTGTGCTCCAAGAGATGGAGGGATTCGTTGTTACTTTGAATCTGATGCTCTTGCTGAGGGTGACCGTTTTGTTGCGGATTATAGCCTGGATTTGTAGCTAGAGGTTGCAAATGGAATGCTATATTTATTCCATTTTTAGTATAACCATCGTTTTGCCATGTTGATATTTCGAGTTCGTTGACATATTTGCTGTTTTGGCCAACTTGTAAAGAGTTCATTTCAGAAGAGTTGCTCGCTTCCATTTGGAGTTCATCAAAAATTGTCGGAGGACCTAGATAGAAAGCATCTCTATAAATTAGTGAATTGAACTATCTCTAATTTAAATTAATAACGGCAAATGTAAGTTAGGTAATCTGTACATCTTTTCCTAACCGATTTTAATCTATTTCTGAGATTCAGTAACTGATTAGTTAAAGTAATCATTTTCTATTCACCATTTCCTTATAATTTCGTATTATAATGGGATGGAGTAAGATTTTCTTTTGTCACTGTAGTTCGGTTATTTCTTACGGTAATCTGACAACCGACAGCGCAGGTTGATCATGGTCCACACCAAAGCAAATGAACTACTAGCCACACATACACACAATGCATTTAAGATAGAAAATTGTCGACATGCCCGATAACAGTATGTCCCCTAGAAGATCATCAAGTCTCACTGAACCGATTGTATTCCCTGAACCTTCCACATTGTTGTTTGGCAAAGTGTTGGCAGCTGCAACAGCACTTCCGATTCGTCTAACTAGATAACCGGACACCTTTTGGAGGGTTGGAATTAGTAGCAACAATTCGCCAAATCGACCTTCAGGAAGATATTGGTTGTCGTTCATTACATTCATAAGTTCCATTTGAAGGCGACTTCTTGAGGCTTCTACTGTAATTCTTCCATTGTTTGACATAATCAAGTGACCTTTAAATGAAAGTTATTTAAGACAATAATTTATCACATTGTAACATGTTACTACCAGCAATAGTGTCATGGCTTACCAAGACATGTGCTCTAAGTTGGTTAAATCGAACTAACTGAAATTTTTTGCCTCCGATATACTATATCCTTAGGTTAAAAGTTGACTAAAATATAACTTAGTGGATAATCCTACACAATCGATAGTAGCAGAAATGAACATTGAGATGACAATAAGGACAGTCTAGCGAAGTAATATTAATTTTCACAGAGGAGATTATGATTTGATAAAATAATTTTAGAAGCGCTTCTTATTAAACTCTGACAATATGCTTATAAAAAATAGAACGCCAGTTTCGTCAAACATGGGTAAATTTTTAACTATATTGAACGATAAATAATGTGAGTAATTGAGCATTTAAGTCCATTATGAATTTATTGCCAATCTCGATCATTCCCTCAACTTCAAATGTTCTTTAATCAAATGCTTTCAATTCATTCATTATTTGAATTATTAGTTATTTTAAATCCGCGTGGGTGAATTTTTGTTGTAAATAAACCCCACATAAATGGTCCCACATTTATGTCTTCAAAAAGATCTTTCAGTCTCTTATGAATTGCAAATTTGGGTTCACTGGGACTAATATTTTTGTTTGCCTGCGATGAGAATTTCAAGGGTAAAAGCTCAATACCTTGAATATTAATGTTAGAAGTAAGAACCCATCATATAGCGCTACAAGGTACTTACTTAAAACTGATGATTTGGTTGCCGATATGCATTGATAGTTTCAAATCGCAGTCATTTGGTTTCCTTTCCCTAAATTTCGGTCTTAGTGAGTCCCACAATTTACTGCAGAATCTGACTTCAAGCATATATATTAACGCTGCACTTTTAGATCATTCAGATGCCCATTGTGGCTTCAATACATTTAAAATGAAAAGATGAAATAATTTACACAAAGGATTTCTTTGGAAAATTCTCCACTAATAACTCAATTTATTGACTGAAAATGTCTTCTATTTATTCTCAAGCGATAATTTTTTGTGGTAAACTTAGTACGCGTATTTAAGGCCTGTATAATTAGGCAGAATGGCTCAGACAAGACTTTTATCCCACATTTCAAAAAGATGAAATTGAGTTTAAAAGTTTTGCAAAAAATTGAAATGTTACAAACTAATGATAGAATTATCTTACCTGCACACAGGAAGATAATTGCTTTTAAGCATATGAATTCCATTTCTCCAATAGCTAATTCCAGGAGTGGTCTGTAGATTGTATTGGCAATGACTTTCAAAATCGCATCCAGATTGTTATCGTCGACACAGCATGGCACAAGAGGATATTCCCCACTTCCAGCCTTGATAACTCCAAGAAAAGCGGAATTTAGTCGCTGAAATAAACCGGCGAAAGTACCAGAGTCACTGGTTTGTTGTGAAGAGGAACATATTGCTTGCCATACTATGCTCAGTAACAATAACTCTCCTGCATTTCCTCGCAGTAGTGCTAACTGAATCATAAACGAAAGATGGTTATGGGTGAAATGGTGTAAGCAGTTAAGTTCTTTAAGTTTGCTTTCACCTGGTCTGGCATATCGAGACTAGAAAAACATTCCAGTTGCTTTGCCCAGTTAATCAATCGGAAGAGGTGAACTTTAAAGGCGGAACAAATGTCGGATACGGTTAGTGGACCGCTTGAGGATATCTCTTTGGGTTCGATTGATTCTGCAGACTCTTTAGACTCTACTTCCGCGCGCAATAGTGTGCTGATATCGATTAACGTGCCATTCAATCCTGGTGCATCATAAAAAGACCTCCTATTACTAATTTTATCCCTCTCATGCTGGACGGCTGCAATTCAAAGCTTACGGTTTAATAAATATTTTATTGATAAATAGTAAGTAGTATGAATATATGAACTTGCCTGCCCTGTTCATTCCAACTCTGAAACATTTCTTAAGACGACAGAACCTGCATTGGTTCCGCATGTCTTTGTCTATTGTACACGTTCGATTGTATCGACAACTATACGTATGCTTTCGACGTACCGATCGCCTAAAGAATCCTTTGCACCCATCACAAGAGTAAGCGCCATAATGCTTGCCTAGTAAAATTAAAACAATTTTCCTTTATATTTATCTAAGTAATTATTCAGAACCAATCACTTATTTCAATAAGCACTTAATTCAAGGATAAAGAGCAATATATAAATATATACTACTAAATACTGTAGTGTGGGGTGTGCAATCGTTTCATATCCATGTGGTACTTGTACTCAATAAAGTTTAAACCGGCAGTTGACTTATATAAACAAATATTGAAAAGATGGGGTGTGCGATAGACTTACCTCCACGTGGTGCACCCTGGGCAACGTATACTAATGCGGCAAAAAAGTCTATTAATCGGCAGTTGACTTCTGACTTCAAACTACCATCATCCCATTGCATTTCATATTCGAATAATTCCACAGTATTCACCTCACCTTTTTTCTACCTTTGTGTCTATTTGTCTCTTTTACGTCTGTGAATCACTATTCTGTCCCCCTCTCGACTTTTTACCACTTGGATGTTCATTTTCCTTTCTGTGAAGCCCGAAGTCAACTAAAGGGCTAATGATACCTATCATAACGCCTGCCATTTGAAATAAATAAATATTGAAAAGATTATAAAGGTATACAGCGATGGGACTACCATAGATGGGTGTAACAGAAAAAGAAGCGTCATTTAAAATTCAGGAACATACTCTAAGGGTATTCACAATAGGTACTGTAGTTACAGGCGTTAGCTGCACGTATATCTCTCTCCAACCTTTTCAAAAAGTCAGATGGCAAAAGTTAAAAATTAAAAAATTATGTAGTGAAGGAGATGTTTGCAAATTTCATGTTTATTTAGAAAAGCGCTCTTGAATCCATTCCTGTGGACATCACTCACTAAATAAGTGCACTTTGAGCAAGATATGCTCAAAGTCCTCGGAATTGTAAAAAATAGTCCAAATACGTCCAGTTCAAAGGTATCATAGTCAGTATTGGTGCATTATGCTCGTCCTGATGAAAGGGTTTTTGATAAAATCACCTATTACGACTTATCATACTGTTAATATTGCCCAAACGCGAAAGAACAGAGGTAACAATAAAGTCTCAATTTGTTCGAAATACCATTTAAATCACCTATCCTTTAGCCTGTATTGAACTAGACTGTTAAAGATTTCTAAAGTTTATCGGAGATAGAAAATTCGAATTCTTTCTGCCTTACTTTACTTTGTACGTGTAAGAATATAACAAAATTTCAGTTCGTATTATCAAGCTTTAAGCACCTCTTTTAAAGCTTTTATTAATAAATTAAAGCATATTCCATTGTTAATTAGCAATGCCCTAACATCTGGCAAAAGTCGATGAAGGCAAATTGTCAACAATACTTCGCGGTTTCAAAAAACTTCTTTTAAAATATTAATTCGGGATCCAACAGTATTCATTTTCACCACAACCACCCCTGTCCTCGTTCTGATTGGTAAATTCACAATACCTCCTCCCCCTCACCCACCCCTTCGTTCCACACTTGAGTAAATGTCGCCATCTGAGCAAACAAACGAGCGTATTTGACCCAAATTCAGAACGGAGGTGTACTACTCCCTCCTAATTTTTCACCGCTAACATCAACAAAAACCAACACAGTTTGCGCTATCTAAATAGTTCAAGCGTGCGGAAGTATCACTTGCGCCCTTCACTCTCGTTGGCTACTTAGTTCAAGCCGCGCAATCGGCCTACTTCAACGACTTATCTGTTCTGATTTCTATCAAAAACAACTTACTAGGTGTTATTTATCCAAGCGTGGAGAGTAACATTATCTACATTATCACGCTTATTCAAGTGGCTTTGATTAGTTCTAAGAAAGCAACAGTACTGTATTCGCCACCCCATTACAATTGATTAAATGCATAAATTGCCTGAAAAGGTCTTATTTCAACCTACTTACAAATTCTACAGAGAATACCGAATTGAGAAGAGTTTCAAAGGCTAATTAACTTAGGAGTGGAGGGGGGTGGGGAGAGGAGGAGGAACAATGGAGTTACTCGCGTGAGAAACACACACTCTGCTATTGGTTTTCGATTTAAATAAACCATTGCTGTTGACCACGAAAGAAAGTGGATATACACACACTAAAGTAGATTTCATGATCTTTTTTACATCGATTTTTATTGAACTGCAAGGACTTTCAATAGCTTTCTAACACTGAAAGTTTGGTTATGTTCCTAAATAGGTCAAAATATATTAACTCAAAATACGAAAGGCAAGCATGTACTATCAGGTCCATTTATTGTGATTGGATATCCACATAAACCATATATTTAAGCGAAACTATGAAAGATACCATCTTATATTTATCAGGAATGCATTAATACCATTTCTAGCTTATTAATGAACTTACTGGAAACATCCATTTAGGCTCTACTGCGATAAATATTTTGTTCGGCTGTTAGACAAAGAAATCCCGTCATTTTGTAAAACCGAATGACCATGACAGAAACCTTGATTCCAGGACCGGAATTATTCCCCCAGTAAATGGAATTATGTTCTTGATAAAAGGGATGCGCGATAGACTTACCTCCATGTAGTGCGCACTAGGCAATGTATACTCATTCGGCAGTTGACTCTTGACTTCAAGCTATCATGACCCAACTGTTATATTCGCCCGCTTTCACGGTACTCACTTCACCTTAAATTCTTCTCCACATTTGTGTCCGTCTCTTTAACATCCATGAATGACTCTTCCGTTCTCCCTGTGATTATTTTGTGACTTTGATGTTCCACCCCTCTGTGAAGCCCGAAGTCAATTAATGGGCTACTGATAAATATCATAAAGCCTGCCATTTGAAAAAGTTTTAGATAAGACGCTTAATTCGTATTTATGGCAAGTATTATTTAAACAAAATTGAATGCTCCGCGTTATCTACTGTTGAGGAAAGCCACAATCAATAAATATTAAGTCGAATAATGGGAAATTGAAGCTGCATTTGCTGATAGTTAATCGAAACTTATATCTGCTACAACTATTATTTTTAATTGTTACTTCATAATTATTATCCTTAATTGTCAGTTTTGGCAGTTCCTTCAGATGCGATACTGGTCAACCGGTAACGAGTGTTTTCCACTGAATCAAAAGTCATGATAGATAACCATTGTCAAATATCAGACGAATCCAAAAATTAGATAATGATTTGGATTCTTGAATTATTGCCCAATCGGACACTGCCGAATTTTAATGATACACAATATTATGCAATTGTACTTAAAACATACCAGTTGCTTTATCCCCACAAATGAGACAATTAGACACCGGTAAATTGGAAGCTCCAGAAGGCGGTCTTTCATCGGCCTTCACGCCAAAGTTGTTGAGCATGGAATCATTATCTTTCTGCGAACCTCTTCGGCCTCTTGACCTCTTGTTGGGGGTCATATCTGGTGTGCTTGGATATCCACCCAATGGTGAATTCCTATTCGCATTAACTATTGTCATTATACCTTCAGGTACTCGTTCCGAATTCAGCTCTAAAATATTACAATGCTGTAGCTAATAAACCATTAAATATAAATCTATCGTTAAGTCTAATTTCCTCGAATCGATATATCAAAGATTGCAACAAATCCTAACAGCAGAGTTGTGCCAAAATTGCGTTGCTGCATTTATCAATAAACGTTCAAATGAATGAAAATAATTTATATCATTTGATCAATTTTCGAAATCAATTACAATTTTTTTTATTATACCTTACTATAAGGTTGGAAATTTTAATTATTTTCAATTTGGTAAGTAACCGGCATAACTCAGTAGCAGGGCCAATAAGTGATAAAGACATCGAGCAGAAAAGAGTCTTTCTTCCTCAACAGCTTCTTCCAATTTTGGAAGTTAGAGTTGCACAAAGTCTGCTTCATGGTCAATTCATGTTCCTGAAATCAAATGTCACACATCGTCACACTTATTGTCAAGTAGACCGTGCTTATTGACCGGTTATACATTTATTATTGACTGGCTATTTGAAATCTTTTTTTCTTTCAAGGGCTGAGGTTCCAGAGGAATCTTGTGAGTTCTCAGGCAGTTTTACCATAGCCCTGTTCCGGGCATGATAGGAATGGGTTAGCTAGAATTTACCAATGACTCGAACTTAAAAAGCTTTGAAAGTACGCGTTTTTTCACAAGGGACAAAATTAACCAATAAACAAATTGGTGCGCAATTCATTCTGGTTCTAGTAACCTTAATTATTTATTAACAAATATTTTTATGCAAAGTTGCAGCTGATAATGACTTTCATTTTACTTTTTGACAAACTGTTAAGGTCAGTTTGTAATTGAATACTTAATACTAATATTCATGACCTGAATCTCCTAACATAAATTGACTACAGTAAATCAACATTTCTAAAATGTGAACCTTAAAATACTGCATGACCAATTCTTGAAGATTGCTAAATACCCGGCTCAAATTGAAAACGTCCATAATTGACTTACTCTTGTCATACTCTTCCTCATTATTAATCAATGTTTCGCCACAGGGGAATTCAACTGGTTCAAGAACAGGGGTATAATAAAATGCATTGTTGTGATCGATCGGTGTTTCCAAGCGTATATGCATTTGATCTGGCAAGTAGGATCTGTAGACATCTGTCGAGTTTGTTAAATCTGATTGACTAGAGGTATGGAGGGGTGCGAGCCAGGCATTGTTCTGGTCAGCTGATGATGTCTCGGCGTAGTAAGATGCTGCCCCCGAAATGTGTTCCGCAAAATTTGATGAATCAACAAGGGTCGGAAGAAGTAGAGATGGATCTAGATAGAATAAAGCTTAGCATCAATCGAATCGAAGATTATTCATTCGAAATCAAATGATCGGGTCAGAGATGCTATTTAGATAGAGATGTATAGTGTTTTCTTATCAAGAATTAGAAGAGTTGGATCAGACTAAAACAAATATATAAAATTTGCTTTGTCCTGGCGTCACCCTTGACATACAGACCTATCATGGCTTAATCAATTTGCTTTGTTCTATTGAGTTTAGGTTCATCTTAAACGGTGCCGGGGAGAGAAACGCACTAGATACAAAAGATCTTATTCCTTTGTATTCATATATATCCGAATTTCATAAATTTCTAATGGTGTATAGTGAGCAAATTCTAATATTTTATTGGGTATGCGCATCTCTAGAGTGACAGAGCTCAAATTTTTCGACAAGGGCATTTATCCTACTAACAGTAAAGAAATTATGGGGTTATCGGACTGTTCATAGAGCTAAATTCTCGCCAACCGAATGTCAAGGCAAGGCTGTTGAACGAAGATGAAGGACTGGAAAGTACCTGCTTTCTATTAACTCAAGGTACCAGCATTAAACCTTCCATCCGATTCAATAATTTAAGCTACAAGCTGTGCAAAAATTTAATCATTTCTTTTTTAAAAAAATGTTTCAGCGGTCTTCGCGTATGATATTCAAATGGCGAGTTAACAACTTAAATTATGCACTTTTTAACACGAAACTGGACTTTGATACTGAAAATACGAAAACTTGTACCCATGGCCTTATTCCGTCTTGATTCGCAATTAAAAATCAATTGATTTACTTAATGTCTGATAATATCCAAACCTTTCCAAATCTTATGTTAAAATAGCATTACAATTTATTGACAAAGTAATCGTTGAGTGTTAATGACGAAAACACCTGAAAGGACAGATAATTGAAGCATAGATTTAAAACCAAATCTCTGCTAACTTAATGGTATTTATATTAATTTAACAATGATGCCAACTAGATTTCTATAATGCTTATATATGAGGTTCAACTTACATAAAAGAGTTTAATGAATTTCGGTGAATTCGTACGCATTTTTGGATTTTTACCATTCAGACAAAGAAACTGTAGTATAATCACCTATCTAGAGGGATTAAGAATCTATCAACCTCGGCTAAGCAACTTCGTACAAAGACATGAAAATATTTGTCAGAGAGAGAGATAGATAGAGGGGGGGGGAGAGAGATGGATAGAGGGGGGAGAGAGAGACGGATAGAGGGGGAGAGAGAGGTAGAGATAGATAGAGAGCCAAAGAGATAGAGAAAGAGAGAGGGAGATAGAGGCAGAGAAAGAGAGAGGTAAAGAGAGAGAGAGAGATAGATAGATAGATTGATTGATTGATTGTGAGAGAGGGAGGAAGGGAGAGAGTGCAATGCTCAAAAGATCACTGCCCGAAAGTAAAACGACCAAAAATGACTTCATGAGACGTATTTAAAATATCATTAAACGGGAGGTCATCACATTTCCGTAATCAGAGTTGTGCGATTTTTCTTACTTGAAAGATCATTGCGTAAATGTATAAGGAAATACTCAGAAGATTGCTAGCGAAAACAGCAGTTACTTCCGGAGCGAAGACAACCAGTGAAAAGGAAAGAAATCAATAATCTCCATGGCTCAAAATTCCAACAATACTTCACTAATGTAACTAGCAGAAACTCAACACCTCCTACAATTTATGCAAAGATGCATTTTTTGGTCTGTTGACAATAGACAATTAATTTTACTAAATATTGTTTTTACACCTTCTTTTGACTCCTCCAAATTCTTAAACCTTTGTTTTAGCTTCAGTAATCCCTATACGATTAAAAAGACTTTAATTTACTAATTTTTCCCTTACCAGCACTTCAACATTGCGGGTTTACCAATAATTAGACCATTCTCAATACTAAATCATATCATTATATCCCATCGAATGTTGATTACTTAGCCCCATGGATTACCTGTCAAAAGCATGTTGTAAACTTGAAATAAAGCAAATTTGATATTAATCAGAGAGAATTATTCAAATGCAACTTTGGTTGATTCAAACAAAATAAACCTATGGCGTTAAGACAAAATTATAGGTTCATTTTGACCTTACCAGAGAGCGTAAAATTAATGGCTTTTGAAACCAAGTAGTCCTTAAGACATGGACCTTATCAGGTCTTTTTGAACCCTACAATAGATGCTGGAAGGGTCCAGAAGTCCACAAGTTCACATAGGTACACTTTCACACATCACACAGCACCACTAAACGAAGTCACCTTTAGACCCCAAAAACCAAGTTGAATCTCTCCCCAAAAATTGATATCGGCCAAAGTCTAACTCAAGCGCCACCACTGAACTTACCACCATTATCATAGGCGCAAGCATCTTCCATCCCACCGTCACCGCTCCTCAGTACCACCATCTGTCCATGATGATGGTGATGATGATTTTGTTGCTGATGGAACGCAGTTGAACTTCCATAGACATCTACTTCGAATTCTTGCGGGTTCATACCTCGACGCCGTTCTAACATAGACTACTAAGTTGTTTCCCCTCCGAGTTTACACACACTTAAGTTCTACTACACCCGCACACTTCGCTTCAATTATCTATTGGTTAATATGCGCAAAGTTGTGCTGTGTAAACACTGTGTGTAAAACACGGAAATGCTAGAGGGTGGGGG